GAAACCCTAACGTTAGGGTTTTTCCCGTCGCTTCATACCTTTCGGTGTGAGAAAATCCAGCGCCCGTAGCCATGAAGTCAAATAGCTATAGCTTGTAATTAGGTTTGCCTATCTGTACGGCGTGTTTCTTCGCGTGAGATTCTGTAAGGAATCCAAGGTTTTGTTTTTTACCATGCCACATCTACTCATGTGTCCCATTACTTTATCCATGGGGAAAACAGAGTTTTCTGTAAGTAAGGTTTCCTTTAAAAATTATTTTTAAGGAAGACTTTTGTGATTAAGCGTGGGATCTGCCTCAGAATGAGAGAGCAGCAACTTGTGTTGTATTTTCATTTACTAATCAAAACACAGTTGTAGTCAATGGTACGTCTACACATTTTAGTTCAACGCATAACCAAGGACTGCATGGTAAGTTTGGGGGAACTAATTCTTTTGTTCACAGTCCAAAAAGGCATAAATATCGAATCTATTATGTTTCGATATGATGCTAAAGTGATGGATAGTCCTGTCAGAAGACAGAGTTCCTGGTGCTCAACTTGAGTTTGCTGAGTCGTCGAGCTGTGGTGGGCGATTGGCCAGTTCTCTCCAGATGTCAAAGAGAATTTCCATGACTGCTTGCACCGGTGTTAGGGGGCTGGTGAGAATGATACGATCCAGACCACTAAGGATGAGTCGTCTCAATGCATAGCGATGGAATCCTTTTTCCACGAAGCATTCAACGAGATTATCAATCTCGAGGATGACACCACCGGCAATGTTAATCAGATAGAAAAGCGCAAAGACTTGCCCCAGGATTACTTTGGATGAGTTTGCAACGGGGTGATTTGAATCTCGATGAATGTACAACGAGACTTTGAATGGAAGTGATTGGCGTTTGTCATATTTTGTGGTTAAGAAAGTACCATCAACCCATATGATCTGGATCTGAAGGCTCAAGAAGTGAGCAGACAGATTCACGAGTGAGCCGTCCGTGCCTATGAATGGATTATCCATCTCATTTTGCATGGCAAGAAATCGTAATGGATATATCCAGAACAGATTTCCTTTGGATTCGACTTGATCAGGGTCAAGGAAGTGGAGGATCATGGGGTTATTCATTGACACCAGATCGTCCATGTACCGGAAAGTGTGTTCAAATAGGCACAACAGATCGTACTGGCCTAAACGAGCGAGTCGAGTGATAAAGTTATACTCGAAATAGAATAGGTATAGGTTACACCACAAAGGCGAGCACGAAAAGCCCATAGGAATCCCTCGGACTTGTCTCCATACTCTATTACCTAGCCGGACGTATGTGTTCCAGATGATAAAGTGATTTAGCTCGATGACTTTCGTTGGATCCATTCTGGTGGCCTTTACTGATGAGTGGTGTAGAGGTTTCCATTCGGCCTCAAGTTCGCCGTTCTTCTTTTGAATCAGAAAAAGGTCTTTATGGAGGTGGTTTTGGTGCATGAATGCCAAATTGACAAGGTTTGTCATGGCCATTGTGAGGCCTTGATTTCCCTCGAGGGGGATGGATAGATGAGGTAAGCTAACAAATTGGAAAGGAAAAAATTGTGGCTTACATAAACGAAGTGACAATCCCAGATGTGTACCCTCTTACTCACACTGCTGATCTTTTAAATTGTCTAAGGAGAAGTCGTTGTTTCATCAAGCTAGATTTTGTTTTTGGGTACTAGCAAGTACTAATAGCTAAAGAAAATATTTTTAAAACTGTTTTTCATACATTATTTGGTTTGTATGAATTTTTGGTGATACCATTTGGTTTGAACAATGCTCAAGCAACTTTCTAGTAAATGATAGACAAAGTTCTTTACTATATGCTGGAGGTGACTGCTGACTTCATTGATGATGTCTTGATCCACTCAAAGGGGACGTGAGAGGAACACGTCCATGATGTTTGTAAAGTGTTGGATTGGCTACGAAACGTTAGTTTAAAGCTGAAGCGGTCAAAATGCATGTTTGGGTTTAAAAACACGAGTTATCTTGGGTATTGTATTTTTCGTGAGGGTTTGCAAGTTGATCCTGATAAACTTGTGATTGTTCTAAAGTTCCTTACTTCGAAGTATGTGAATGATGTGCAACGCTTCTTGGGCAAACTGTAGTATCTCAGTTGTTTTATGGATTATCTTTCTAATCGCACTACACCATTGTGAGCATTGCTGAAGTCATTAATGTCATCATTCATCTGGTCTTTGGATTGTGAATGGGCATTTATATATCTCAAAAAGCTATTGTCGACTCCTCCGGTTTTGGCATATCTTAATTACACTCAACCCTTCATTTTGTGTGTGATGCTTCTGATATTAATCTTGGAGGAGTGTTGATACAAAGGACCTCGAGTGTGCTTAGTTAGCACCATCCCATTGCATATATAAGTTGTATATTACAACCAGTGGAAGTGAACTACTCCACAACAAAAGAGTGTTTAGAAGCAGTCTAGGGTTTCGAGAAACTTCATGGTTTTCGAATGTTACTAGAAGGTGATTATGCCGTCATTACTTCTTTATTAAAGTGGAAGAACTTGGTTGGTTGTATTGCTTGGTGGGCTTTGAAGTTTCAAATATATGATTTTGATATTGTTCATCACCCGGGGAGTTCTATAGCTGATATTAATGCCTTTTTTCGAGCACTTCTTCCTTCTTCACTCTTTTATCATGTTTTTAACAAGCCTGTTGTTCTAGCATCTGTGAATTTTTTAGACGAGGATTCTGTGTCATCGGTAGTTGTTATACTTAACATTCAATGTCCACAAGGTGCAAAGAAAGATCTATCTTCTCTTAATGAAGTTTGCAAGGCTTAAAAGATTGAGCCATAGCTTCAAAGGTTTTAAGATGGTTTTGAAATTCTTGCATCACTTATTGATGACTTGCCATTCTGACGTTTATATTCTCAATATCACCTTGAAAATGGCCTTATTTATTTTGTGGGGACGGATCTTAATGATCATTTATGACTGGTGGTGCCTTCCATCTTTATTCCACGATTTCTCCATACTTACCATGATTCTCTTGTTTTAGGTGGGCATATGGACATTGTCATATGACTAAGAAGTTACACAGCTCTTTCTATTGACTAGAGATGCAATGTGATGTTATCCGGTATTTGCATAACTGCATTTGGTGCTAAGCTCGTAATACACCCCCCCATGTGGATAGTTAGAGTCAATTATAGTTTCCCATCTATTTGAGTTAGTAGCATTTGATCTTATGGGACCTTTTTCACGATCGACTCCTGGCAATAAATATGTTATTATTGCTTCTAACTATTTGATTCATTAGGTGGAAGTTGGTAGCACCTCTACAACTTTTTTTGGATACTTCCTCCTTAATTGAGTGGTGTTCTAGCATTTTTGTCTGGAGCGGATTCTTTCGGATAATGGTCCGGCATTTATAGTTGAGGCATTTCATGTTTTGACGTCTTGATTGGGAATACACCACACTTTCACGAGTGTTTATCATCCATAGTCAAACAGTTTGGTGGAATGGCTCGTTTGGACATTCAAAGGAATGATCGCGAAGTATATGAACTTTTAAAATTCGAATTAGGATGGTTATTTACCATCTATTTAATATGCATATGTCATAGGGGTGTAGAGTTCTGTTGGTGCTTCACCATATAAACTCTTATATAATCATGATCTAATTTTACCAACAGAGTTGAGTTTACTTTCACGATTGCCATGAGTTGTTGATGCTAAATTGTGGGATTAGTATTTGATGAGCATTCTTCCACTTGTTCAAGAAGAGTCTACTGAACACTTAAGCCACGTATAAATGGGACAACAACAGCACTACAACTCCCATCATCGTCCACTTGCAGAGTATAAAGTGAATGATTTGATGTTAGTCTATTTTCCCCATCTTACGGTATGTAGTTTATCTAAAGGGCTTTTTGCTCAATGGAAAGGACCATATCAGGTGTTGTAGTAAGTTGGACCACAAGTTTTTGAGGTTTGGCATTACGTTTAGCAGGCCGATCCTCCAAAAATTATGCATGTGCATCAGTTGAAACACTTCATATAAAGGGATCAAGAACAACTGACACCACCTACAGATCTGCCAGTGCCTCTTCTTGATGTTCCTCCAAATCCCAGTTTATTTACAAAAGAATCTTGATGGTCTTCCATTATTCCGAGAGGAAGGGATGATGTGAAGTTTAAGTGTATGGCTATAATGCCATATATTAATATTAGTGTAGTGGGATTTTGGTAGTTATCGGATTGGTTTCAATCCAAACCACTCACTCTTGTATATAAGCTAAGGTTTTTGGGCTAATTGATATGTACATTTTCTGTATTCCCTTTCTATATTCCATGCACTCACATATCAAAATATTTTCTAATATTTATTTATTACACAAAAATATTCTTAGCATATTCAAAAAATAATAATAAAAATTCAAAGTATTCTTTAAACAGTAGTATATATTATAACAAAATATTCTTTAGTGAACTGTCTTGGCTGGCTCCCTTTTTGCCAACCCTACCAACAAAGTTTGGACAAGTTGAATGCAAAACAAATCCTTTAACAAGGCAGTTGGATATATACTCCACCATGTTAGCAAGGTGGCAAGGCGTGCATGACTTACAGTCCCTTCATCTAATGGCAGAATTCTGTTTTTATGGACTTGGGCGATAAATGGTAGGCCTTCCTCCTCTCAGGCGATTAAGTCAACTTTGTGTTCGTAAGCTTTGAATATCTCTTGGTTTCCATGGCAACCAGATCAGCGCTCTAATCAGCCCTATCCGATCGAGATGATGTAGAGATATTGGTGTCGTGATTGGAAGGCAAGCAGAGGATGTGTTTTGGTATGTTTTGACATTGGATATGACTGCAAGAAGCGCAGGAGAAAAGATTCCCATGCCCCATATTGGCTGGGATTCGTGTAGCCTCCTCCATCAGCAATGCACTTAGAGAGTCAGTTGGAGGAGATTGATCTTGAGAGGAGGAAGGTACGTGGCTAGATGCAGATGGTATGCTCGGGGTATGTCTGTTGTCTTTGGAAAAATGTGTGTGATGGTGATCTTTTGCTTGAGCTTACATTCATTCCTAGACTAGCTTTTTCATCTTCCCACAGCTTTATGTTGACGTGTTTAAATTTCCAGAGTTGGGCTTTGCATCCGGCCAGCATTTGCTGGGCAATTTCTAGTAAGCACAGCTTTTAGTGATCGCTGATCTCTCTACCAGAAACAAAAGTAATCTCTGGGACAAAACATGTAGAACACCATGTCGATCTTGCTGCGCATGAGCGAGTGGTAGACGCACGGTGTGACCAAAGCCTGCCTTAGCCGCATCCAGCTTGGCCGCTCCACGAGTAGCTTCAAGCTCTTTCGCAGTGTCCTCCTGCCGAAGAAATCGACCACGCCCACCACCACTTCTCGGTTCTCCGTCTTGAAGCACAGCAAGGAGTAGTCGACCACCGAGTCATCCTGGGGCCAGAGAAACAAAGAGAAGATAAGCACACAAACAAGCGAAAGGAAACGTGTATGTTACCTGGAGAAACTGCGTGTCTCGCTTGACAATCTCCTCGAACCTGAGATACTCGAGCCCTGCTAAGTAGACAGGCTCCATCTTACTGCCAGACGCCTTGAGCTGGTATTGAGAGACAACGTTCCCGGGAGGTTTTAAGTACTGCATGAGGACAATGTGGTTCACAGCATCTCCAGAGATTACCTGCATGCAAAGACGAAAGCACTGCGCCTATAAGATCATTGTCCTTCTAAACAAAAGTACAGTACAAAGAGTAGAACTCACCGTGAAAGCGCCATAGATCTTCACAAGCATCGTCCTGTTCCTGTTCGACGAAATGTAGTTGACATAAGCAGAGGCAAACCTCGAGAAGGAGCGGATCTCTTCAGCCGTAACCATCTGGAGGAGGAACCTCCGGTCCTGCGTGGGCCACTTTCCATCTTCGGAGGGCCTGCTTTTCACGGTCGAGAGGCTCCCTATCATCCTTGTCATCACAGGAAACGGCAGCGTAAGGATGCACCAGGCAGCGCTTATGGAGCAAATGAGGCACTCGGTTTCGTCGGGACCGTTTTCAATCGCAGGATCGGAGTCTTGCAGCGCTTCCAGCAAGCTCGAGAGCCACGGAGGCAAGCAAAACTATTAGATTTAGAACACGCTATGACGGCTTTATGCACTCACCTGTGCTTCTCCGGTATTTCTACGCCGTTGTGTCGAGCTTGGTCCGTATCGAGGGTTCGTAAGCTTCTTCCTCTCGACGTCCGATGGTAGAATCAAACGTACCGTTGACATCTAGACAGCTGCATGAGACCCACAGTTACTCAACAAACAGAAAAAGCCTCTGCAAAGATGACGACACAGAATGACTGCTAGATCTCAAAACTGACACGAGAAAGAAAGATCGGCTCACCTCTCCAGAGAACACGTGAAACAATCGACAATTATCGCTAGCAGCCTGCTGAGGAACACACAAACAAGCTCTTAGCAATGTAAACAAGGAACTTCACGCGCGGATAAGGTGGTCTATCGGAAAGAAAGTAAGTGCAAGAACGGGAGAGAAAGCTTGAAGTAATCTAAAACAGGTTGCTACTATCAAAAGTCGCAAGACTTTCGATCGGAAAGATCATCGGCTCACCCCTGCGAAGATATCCGGGAACAGTGCCAATAATCGCCAGCTCCAGAATCAAACCTGGGAGGAAAAGCGTCAGGCTTTGAGACAATCGCTACTACAACGTCCGCATGAGAAAGTCCCTAGCTTTTCAGTCGGAAAGATCATCGGCTCACCTCTGCGAAGAAATCTGCGCAACAGTCGCAACAATCGCTAGCGCCGCGTCAAGCCTGGAACGAAAGAAGACAAGCTTTGAATGCCATTCTATCAACGAAAGCCGCAAGCTTCTCGAGCAAAGTGATCACGTCGGCGAAGAAATCTGTGCGACAGCAACGACGATCGCTCGCTCCACGCCTACACTTAGAATGTGAGTTAGATCGAAAGAAATCGCGGAGATTCTACGTCGCTCCTCTCTTTCTCTCTCGGATTCCCTTCCGAAAGAGAAAGAGAGGAGCTTCCGGCGAGTAAGATCATCGGCATACCTCTCCGAGCAACAGCCGCTACTAGGCCTGCAAGTAAAGAAAAATGCGAGAAGAATGGGTAGTGAGAAAGAGCACAACACCATCTCCACCATCTACGAACCTCCGAGACGATCAAGACAGGAATGGAGCTCGCCGAGCCCTAATACTTGTGCCAACTCGGCATCCTAGTGGCAGCCACGTCATCCAGCCAGAGACCATAGTTTTGTTCGAGAGCCCCTGTATGTGCACCGTGGTCGCGGAGTAATCCATCCATTTTGTTCGTGGTCGCCTAGCGAAAATCTGTGAAGTTCTTCTAGCAGCTAAATTTCCCAGCGTCCTTGCTGCTTCACAAGACGTCGATTCTGAATTACAGTGATAACGAGAGCTAGAATCGTCGCTGACTTAGCTCCATCCTCCCGGGAAACAACGATTAATCGACGAAAATCTCAGGGGAGAGAAAGATTGATACCTATTGTACCGATCCTTGTGTCCCCAGCGTCTCACAAGCACTCGCGCAATCGATATTTCGATCTCGATCGATCGAAATGCAATCGACTAAAGATCGACACCTATCGTAAATCCTTGCAGAGCGCTCACAAGCGCTCGCTCAATCCATATTTCGATCCCTGCGACGCCAAGACGCAAATGCCTCGATCGATCGAAATGCCTCACTGCCCTACAAACTTGGGAGCCTAAAGACCTAATTCCTAAAGAGCATCTCCCACGTGTCGGTATTACGCTCCACCAATCAAGCGCCTACAAGTAGCCGTTGGATACCTCCAAGCAATTCTGGACCGTCCGTGAGAGCGACGGCTGGGATTATTTCTCGGCCCTGCAAAGCGGCGTTCTTGTTTGCTCTCGTTGGGTTGAGAAGCTCCCGATCGCGGCATTGTCGTCAATCGATCCCTTGCTTCCAGCGCTGCTTCAGGTAATCTTGTGGCGGAGCGGGCGATCCAAGCTGAGCGCGTGTTTGATCGTGTGTTTCCAGGGTTTCTTGGCAAGAAGAAAATGGCCGAGCAGCAGCCCGCGCCAGTGGAATCCACTCAGGTAAAAAGACAAATCTCACGGGGGGCATCGAAAATCTTCCAAAATCTTGCTCGTTCTTCCAGGAGCCGAAGCTCAAGTACCTGGGATTCTTCCAGGCGGCGCTGATCAAGGTGACCGTGGTCATCGCCTCGCTCTACGAGTTCGCAAAGGAGAACTCGGGGCCTCTCAAGCCCGGCGTGGACAGCGTCGAGGGCACCGTCAAGACGGTGGTCGCGCCCGTGCTCCACAAGATCGAAGGGAGGCCAGCGGAGCTACTCATTCTCGTCGATAGCAAAGTAAGCTCTTTTCCTTCTTTCTTTCCAGCCATCTAGCTTTTCCTCTTTACCTTTTTTTCTTTTCCAGCGATCTAGTGTGATTGACACATCTATCTCTTCTCTCAGGTGGACGAGATTGTCACGGCCCTCAAGAACTCTCTCCCCCAGTTCGTCAAGGAGCGATCCCAGCAAGCTTACGACATTGTCACTCAAGCTCCCGAGGCGGCCAGGAGCGTGGTGGGCGACGTCCAAAAGCGCGGAGTCTACGAGAGCGCTCGCGACTACTACAACAAGTATGAGCCGGTTGCCGAGGAGTGGTCTTACAGCGCTTGGACGGCGGCTCTCAAGCTCCCGGTGGTGCCGCAAGTCGTTCATCTGACAGCTCCAGTGGCGCTCTTTGGGGTGGAGAAGTTTAACTCGCTCGTCGTGGTGCTCAAGGAGAACAATGTCCCTCTGGCTGCCTACGTTCCGGAGCTGCCTCTCGAGAAGATCCAGCGCGCTGTGGAGATGGAGCCCGTGAAGCAAGCTTAGAGAAACAAGAAGAAAAAGGAGATGGAGGAATCGGGTTTGGTAGCAAGCTTCTTTCTCTTTCGTCGCTAGAAGTTCGTCGGAGGTATATATATACATCTATATATATATATATATATGGCTATGGACTTATAGAAATAACTTTGTCCGTGTCATCCTGGCGCAGGGGCCATGCCAAAATAAACAGCTGAAAGTTCGTTCTTGAAAGAAAGTTTTGTTCAAAAGAGCTCAAGAACAACTGAAAAGTTCTCCTTTCCAAAGTTGTGGATTTTGTTTATAAGAGCTGAAGAACATAGTGTGATCTAGCTCCGATTTACAAAGCCGGGACCAAAAGAGCTTAACTTTCTGCGTAGAAAAAACTCGGTATTTGATCTAGGAGCTTTGTGGCGGTGTTTAGGCAGCTCCAACGTTCGTGGAGCCAAGATCATCGAGTAGAGAGGAGTTGAGAAGTGGGAGCTGTGAACCAAACAAGGGAATTTTACAATGGCTGGCTTTGGCACGCACACACAAAACGCCTAGAGCCTCTTGTGCGCGCGCGCTACATTCTCCTGCCTGCCTTTGCGTAAGGATATGGAGTGCTAAAGGGGTGAGCAACGGGCAACACCCGGAGGAGAACGTAAAGCGAGACGACCAAGTGTGGCACGTACACCATGAGCAACCTGGATTTCTTGGCCGAGTGCGTGAGATAGATCTCCGAGAGCAATGGAACCTGTTTGCTAGGACGACTTTAGATCCCTCTAAAACGTTTTGGAGAGAATGGAAAACTGGGACGTACCAGACTCGTTGTGGAGTGAACTCCATACAAAATCCCTGTCAATCGTCCCCAGTCCTTTCCTGTGAGAGACGAAGGCCAGAACGAGCACCAAGAACAAGAAGCAAATGCAAACTTTAGTCATCTCTTTTGCCTGGAGCAACGAAGAAAGAAAGAAAGAACTGTGAAGCATACAACTGACCATAGTAGAAGGCCTTAGCGTTGAGGAAGAGCAATGGCAGCCGGAAGAAGAGGTCTGCCAAGACAATGCCCTTGAAGTAGGATGGCATGTCCCTCATGAAAAAATCGCCATTGGCGCGGACGTGCCACTTGACGAGGCCCTGGAGGAACTTTGGGAAGAGCCACGACGGTAGCACCGCCTGCGCCTCGAGGAACAAGACGATGGGGATGTTGACGAGGAGAAAGATGACGACGATGACATCCAGAGGGCGTCTCCGGGGTGGGAGCCCTCGTCTCTGTGCCATAAAGAAGGATCCTTGCTGCTGCTGCTGCTGCTGCGGCCTCCACTCCTAGGGCTAGAACTACTTCTTCTTGGCGATCTTGGTGACAAAATCGCCGCCGCCGCCACCGGGGACTCACCAGGTGATGGATTCATTCGCGGCGCCGCCGCCGCCGCCGCCCCCGCCGCAAGGACACCTCTTCTTGCCCCTGTCAAAGCCCTGTTGCTCCTCCATCGCCGCCGCGCGCGCGCCCCTGGGACTTTCTTCTTGGTAGGGTAACAGAAGGCGCGGCGCTTGCGTTCCGGATTGCTGACGTGGCGTGCCACCTGGCGGAATTCAAATTTCGGGATATTCGCGGCGGATGCGGGGGTGTTTAGGGTTTATGGGCGCGCTGGGCGGCGTCCCAGCTACTGGTCATCCGCGCGTGGACGCGATCCATCAGGTGAGGATCTAGGTTATTTGACGCGCTGTTGATCACACTTTGTGTCACAGTTCGTAGCTTTCTCTTTCGTCCAGATCACACGCATCACTTGCTTTTTCGCTTTTTTTTTTTGGCTTTTTCTTTGTCGCGTGGTGTGTTCCTCGTTGTTTTCTTCTCCGCCGCGTGATTCTGTAGCCGCGGTGGCTGCTGCTGCGATCGAGAATCTAGTCCCATCGCTTTATGAATTTTATTTTTTCCCTGAGTTGTTGGAGCATTGCCACCTGACTAGGAGGGGCTAGTCATGACGGGCGAGAGGAATTTGGGAGAGAGGACTAAATTGAGGGTCTTGTGCTTGCACGGGTTCAGGACGAGCGGAAGCATCCTTGAGAAGCAGCTCAGCAAATGGAGCAGCTCAATTCACGAGCTCTTGGATCTGGTAAGCAAGCAGAAAAATTCCCCCTTTGGTTTCTAGCTTCGAAAATCCCATTGGTTTTTGCAGACTTTTCTGGATGCTCCGTATCCAGCGAAGGGGAAGTCGGATGTGGAGGGATTTTTCCCACCGCCGTACTATGAGTGGTTTCAGTACAATCATGTAAGCTGCAGTCCTTCGTTTTTTCTTTTTTTTTTTTTTGACCTCCTCCCGCTGCAGGATTTCACCGAGTACACGGGATTCGACGAGACAGTCCAGTTCATCGCAAACTTCATGGAAAACAATGGTCCTTTCGATGGACTTCTCGGTTTTTCTCAGGTAAGATTTCCCGTTGCGGTAGGGAAGCGTGGCTGACTCTTGGCAAATCCAGGGCTCAATCTTGTCTTCCGCACTTGTCGGGATGCAAGAAAAGGTAGAAGCAACACAAAGGTCGTCTTGTGTTTTTCTTTGCTAACGCGGCTCTTTCTCTTTGTCTCACAAAAAGGGTAAAGCGCTGACTGGAATTCCTCCCGTGAAATTCGTGATATCGGTGTCGGGTGCAAAGCTCATTGCATCGAAATTCGCGTTTGTCTACTCCGATGGCATCCGGCGTCCCTCCGTTCACGTCTTAGGTTCGAGCTGACAGCTAGTTTTCTTTAACTCTTCCCAAATTCTCTACTCTCTCAGGTGACAAGGACTGGCTTAGAACACCAGGCGAGGAGTTGCTCAAAGCCTATGAATCACCACTCGTCATCAGACATCCCAAAGGCCACACGGTTCCAAGACTCGGTAATACTTCCTGCTCATTTGCTCTTTCAAAGTGGTGATTTATTTTTCCAGACGAGAGATCGACCATGGTCATGCGAGACTTCCTCCTCCAGCAGCTGACGTTCCAAAAATCGACACTGGTCAAGCAGATTGCGATAGACGAGGACTCCAGGGAAATAGCAGTGGAAGCGTAAGCTCCCATTTTATACGAATAAACTTTTGGAAGTTCCTCTTGCATGGGGAATATCTCAGAATCTTCATGTCAGCTTTATAAATTTTGTTGCTCGTTCCTGGAAGCGTCGTCCATGGCTTCTGGGAAAGACTCCCCGTAGATAAAATTCTTTGAAGAGCACGAAGTTCTCTCTTCTAACCGTATGCCCGTGTCCACCTTTAGGAGGACCAGCAAACGAGCATCTTCTCTTTCGTCTAGAATCTCGATAGGTCATAGCATAATTTTCCTCCACTCGCGAGACATATTGTAGGGCTGCGCGGCCGCCTGGGGCGATCCTCCCAGCTATGGGCGTGCCCTCTAGGTAATCCACGGCTGTTCCACTGCCAGCAGCGGCTTTGCTACAGAGTAGTCGGGGGTTTTGCGCGACGGGATTGCTGCCCCATGGGGATCGCTGGGAAATTTTGCCGCACGGTGCCTGGCGGCGTGTGGGAGACGAAGATCGAGAATGGATTCGGCGCATTCACTCCCTGCGTCACCGACACGCTCGTCATCAACATCTCCATGCTGGTGCTGCTCTCCTTCGCCGTCAAGAGGATCCGGCTCATCAGGGGCTCCTCGGACGCCCCCGTTGTGAGGCACAGCGTCAAGCGGCGGCGTGGCCATGTTCTTCTCATCGCTCTAGCTGCGTATTCCGCCCTCCAGCCGCTTGCGCAGCTCGGCCTGGGGATTTCTAGTGACAATCCCGAAGGAAACAAATCCCCTCCACCTTACGAGGTATGGCATTTTTTATTATGTTCTCGCTGATGACTGTGGTTATGTCAGATTGTTGCTATGATCGTTTCCTCGGCTACTTGGATTGCTGTCCTGATAATGCTGTGCCTGGAGACGAGGATTTACGTGACGGAATACAAATGGCACTACCGTTTTGCTTTGCTTTACGTTCTGGTGGCCCAGATCACGAAGTTTCGTTTCGTTCTTGAGCTCAAGGATTACCTGGACAAGTAAGTTGGTCCGATGTGTTTCTTAAGTTTGATATGACCGTGGCAATGGTTACTGAAGGTATGCGTTCGGGGTTTCTTGCGGTTACTTCGCAGCTCAAGTAAGCTGATTGTTCAACTCTCGTTCACTTGTTGCTGATGATGGATTTTCTCAGGCTGTGTTCACTGTTGTCGCGTGGATTTATTCTCCGGAGATCACCGAAGAAGGAGATTATCGTCCCATCCCCGAGGACATCACAGTTGAGTATGAAGATCAGATGCCGTCCGAGAAAGTTTGCCCGGAGTGCCATGCTTCAATTTTCTCGAGTATGTCAAGGTTTAAAATGGAAACGTGAGTGAGCTGATCGTACCTGTCATACAGGAATTGTCTTCTCATGGATGACTCCACTAATGGAGACAGGCTACAAGAGACCGCTTACTGAAAAGGATATTTGGCAGCTTGATGAGTGGGATAGGACGGAGAATCTCTATCGAAAGTAAGACATTTGCTGGGGAGCTTTGCAGACGATCTTGCCTTGTACTTGCAGTTTTAGGAAATTCTGGGATGACGAGTGCAAAAAGGCGAATCCGTGGCTTTTGGCAGCTTTACACAGATGTCTTGGACCGAGGTTTGGCACTTTTAGTAAGTTATTTGGTCTTTCTTCTCTGATGAAACGTTTTTACGTTCCCTAGATTCTGGCTGGGTGGAATTTTTAAAGTAAGCTTTTCTCATCCTATACTATGTATCTAAGCATTTCTTGTCTTTTCAGGTTGGAAATGATCTTTCTCAATTTGTTGGACCTTTTTTCTTGAATCTGCTTCTAGAGGTCAGTCAAGTGCTAATATCCATTACACTTGCTCAAATGTTTCAGATTTATAGTCAATGCAAACCGGTGCTCCCGTCTGGCAAGGCTACATATATGCAGCACTGATATTTGTTGGCATTGTAAGTTATCTTACATGTCTTGTCTCCCAAATTTTTATTTCTCAACGCTTGCTTTATAGTTTGGAGGTGTTCTTTGTGAAGCGCAATATTTTCAAAACGTAATGCGTACAGGATTTCGTGCGCGCTCTGTTTTGGTTAGAATCGCCATTTGGTTTTTATCCCAGGTCCTTCGTATTTTTAACCATTATAGCATTGTATAGGTTGCTGCGGTGTTTCGAAAATCTGTTCGTCTAAGTCAAGTTGGGCGACAGGGGTTTACTTCAGGAAAAATTGTAAATCTGATGACTACTGATGCAGAAGCTCTTCAGGTACATCCAGATCAGTAAACTTATGTGTTGTAATTTAATTTATCAACAGCAAATATGTCAACAACTCCATGGCCTGTGGTCAGCTCCCCTACGGATTGTAGGAGCTGTAGTTTTCCTTTACTATCAACTCGGCGTTGCATCCTTGATTGGTTCATCAATTTTGTTGTTGTTGTTTCCTGCTCAGGTGAGCGGTATATTTTCGTTTGTGAATATACTGACAACTTTGGCTTTTCGCTGTAGACTTTTATCATCAGTCGCATGCAAAAGCTGACAAAAGAAGGGTTACAGCGTACTGACACACGTATCGGCCTGGTCTCTGAAGTTTTATCAGCCATGGACGTTGTGAAGTACGTGTGCGTATTTTTATTGTCTCGGTGTTTACTTTTGTAACACAGATGCTATGCCTGGGAGGATAGTTTTAGCTCAAAAGTTCAGAATGTTCGAAATGACGAGCTTAGTTGGTTTCGAAAAGCACAGCTTCTATCTGCGGTAAGTTCTCTTCATTCTACAGCTTCTTTACCTTCTTAAACATCTCCACTTGCAGATAAACAGCTTTCTCTTGAACAGCATTCCGGTTTTTGTTACTGTTTTAGCCTTTGGCATTTACACGCTGTTGGGTGGGAAATTGACACCGGCAAAAGCTTTTACTTCTCTCTCGCTATTTTCTGTTTTGAGATTTCCCTTATTCATGTTCCCGACTCTGATAACACAGGTGGAGTTTTTTAGATGCTCGCTCAATTGGTGATCGTGGTCTTACAGGCTGTCAATGCGAAAGTATCCTTGAAGAGATTGCAAGAGCTCCTTCTTGCCGAGGAACTCGCATTACTACCCAATCCACCCATACAGAAGGAATTACCTGGTATTTCAATCAAAGATGGCAGTTTTTCTTGGGATCCAAAGGTTTTCTGCTTTCACTTTCTTGTTTCTTTGTTGCTAAATATTGTTGCTCTGAAACAGGCAGAGCGGCCCACTCTTACGAACATAAATTTTGAGGTCCCAGTTGGAAGTTTTGTGGCCATTGTTGGGGGAACTGGAGAGGGAAAAACCTCTTTAATTTCAGCTGCAATTGGAGAGTTGCCTCCTCTCGCTGATACGGAAATTATATTGAGAGGAAGAGTAGCATATGTTTCACAAGTATCATGGATTTTTAATGCCACTGTAAGATCTTTTTTCTTTTTTCTTGCACACTAATAACGTTTCTTGAACAGGTCCGTGATAATGTACTATTTGGAGCCCCTTATGATCCAGTGCGCTACAACAGGGCTATTGAAGTTAGTGCGTTGGCACAGGACCTTCAAATATTAGCTGTAAGTAATTTGTTTGGTTTGTAAATTTGTATTGAGCATTTCGGCAGGGAGGAGACCTTACAGAAATTGGTGAGCGTGGTGTGAATCTTAGTGGCGGGCAGAAGCAAAGAGTATCTATAGCACGAGCCGTGTACTCTACTGCGGACGTTTATCTATTTGATGACCCCCTGAGTGCACTCGATGCACACGTCGGCCGCGAAGTATTTGACAAATGTCTTCGTGACGAACTCAGAGGAAAGACGAGAGTTCTGGCAACAAACCAGCTCCATTTTCTTCCACACGTTGATTATATCTTCTTGGTCCACGACGGGATGATAAAGGAGCAGGGAACATACGAGGACCTTATTTCGAATGGACCTTTGTTTAAGCAGCTTATGGAGAATGCCGGAAAGATGGAAAATACCGACGAAGAGTCGGCTGAATCGTCAGATGAAAGCAACATAAATGGTGACATGAAAACTCAGAGGGCGCCATCGTTAAAAAAGAAATCGAGCTCGAAGAAAGAAAAGAAGAAATCGGTATTGATAAAGAAAGAAGAACGAGAAACAGGTGTTATAAGTTTTCGGGTTCTGGAAAGGTAAGTATTTAATTACTAATATACAGCTGCTGATTCTCTCTGTTTGCAGGTACAAAAATGCTCTCGGTGGATTCTGGGTTGTTGCCATCCTGTTTCTTTGCTACATTATGACAGAAACCTTTCGCCTTTCTAGCAGCACTTGGCTCAGCTATTGGACACAGCCAACTTCGGGCCAAGAGCACAGTGCCAACTTTTACAATGGTATCTATGGCGCACTGTCATTCTGTCAGGTATCCTGTTAGTTTTAAGTAAGTTCTACGTTTCCTCACCAAAAATTGCAGGTGCTGGTTACGCTCTTAAACTCCTTTTGGCTCGTCACCTCGAGCCTGTACGCTGCTGCACGCCTTCACAACGGGATGCTGGCATCCGTCCTTCGTGCTCCCATGTCTTTCTTTCATACAAACCCAATCGGTCGCGTTGTGAACCGCTTCGCCAAAGACACTGGAGACATCGACAGGAACGTGGCACTGTGGTCTAATATGTTCCTTGTTTCCATCTTTCAGCTCCTGTCTACGTTTGTGCTCATAGGGTTCGTTAATACGATCTCTCTCTGGGCTATTTTACCTCTCCTTGTTGGATTTTATGTAGCGTATCTTTACTTTCAGGTAAACTCTGTTGTTTTTGTATCCTGATACTGACTACTCTTCTCCATACAGAGTACTGCTCGCGAAGTCAAGCGTCTCGATTCTATAACTCGCTCTCCTGTTTACGCACAGTTTGGGGAGGCACTTAACGGCGTGGCGACTATTCGAGCTTACAGAGCTCATGATCGCCTTGCTGAGTTCAATGGCACGACAATGGACAACAACGTCCGTTTTACGCTCGTGAATATGAGTGGAAACAGGTGGCTCGCTGTACGTCTCGAGTTCGTTGGCGGCCTTATGATCTTTCTCGCCGCGGCATTTGCTGTTTTAGCCAATGCAAACGCATCGAGTCAAGCATCTGTGGCACCTCAGATGGGCCTGCTCTTGAGTTACGCTCTCAATATCACCTCGTTATTGACAGCGGTATTGCGACTAGCAAGCTTAGCCGAGAACAGCTTCAACGCCGTTGAAAGGGTGGGAACTTATGCAGATTTGCCCGCGGAAGCTCCACTCGTGGTTGAGAACCGACGTCCACCTCCCGGTTGGCCTTCTGCTGGAGCCATCGAAATGAAGAACGTAGTCATGAGATATCGTCCGGATCTTCCGCCCGTGCTGCATGGCCTGTCTGTAAGCATCAAGCCCAGTGAGAAGGTGGGAATAGCTGGTCGAACAGGCGCAGGCAAATCCAGCATGCTCAACGTACTGTTCCGTCTCGTGGAGATCGAGAGTGGACAGATTCTGATTGACGGGTATGACATTTCGAAGATGGGATTGCGAGACTTGCGCAATGCTGTCGGAATCATTCCACAGACGCCAGTGTTGTTCTCAGGTGTGTATATATATTCAGAAACGAAGTTTTTTCTGACTCGTTTTTCTATCTCAGGTAGCATTCGTTTCAATTTAGATCCTTTCAACGAGCACAAGGACGTCGAGATCTGGGAGTCGCTGGAAAGAGCTCATCTCAAGGACGTTGTGAAGCGGAATTCCAAAGGCTTGGACGCAGAGGTTGGTGTGTTTCTCTTTGGTACTTGTTCTCATTTTGTATGCCTGGTCATCTTACAGGTAGCAGAAGCTGGAGAGAACTTTAGCGTTGGACAGAGACAGCTCCTTAGTCTGGCACGAGCTTTGTTACGGAGGTGTAAGATCCTTGTTCTGGACGAAGCAACTGCCGCTGTGGATGTTGGCACAGACGCCATCATCCAGAAGACAATCCGCGAAGAATTTCGCGCATGTACCATGCTCATCATCGCGCACAGGCTGAACACCATCATCGACTGTGACAAAATTCTCGTGCTTGATGCTGGCAAGGTAGGAGATGGTCATGAGTGTTGCAAGTATAATAACACCGCTTTCAGGTCGTCGAGATGGACACACCGGCAACTCTACTTGCAAATGAAAACGGTGTTTTCACGGGAATGATTCGCAGTACTGGCGCAGCCAATGCTCAGTATCTCATGGTAAGTTGACTACTTTCTTCACTTGTGAAAACTAAGTTCGTGTTCGCCATCTTCGAAACCAGAGCATTGTGAGAGGAGATGTCGACGTGAAGTCCGAGCTGGAAGAGATGGCCAGCATTGAGCAGCGAAAGTGGGCAGCGTCTGCGAGATGGGCCATCGCTACTCGGTGGGCATTAGCCAAGAGTTTAACAGCCTCCCAGGGCGATTTGCAAGCGATCTGCGGCCAGAGCAGCAGCAGCGAAACGCCGACGATACTCGAGACGACACGCGACGCGGTGCAAACGCTCCATGACTTACTCTCCGGAAGGCACAACGAGGCGATCGACGCGGAGCTCAGCGCACGCAACGCTCCTCGCGAAGTGTGGTGGAACTCCATGCTGAGAGTCATCGAAGGTCAGATCAATGCTAACTATTCTATGCTCTCTTTTTAACTCCTATGCGTTGTTTTTTTGTTTTTTTTTCCAGGCCTTGCGGTCATGGCGCGCGGCGTTCGAAGCCGCCTAAATCGCTCTGGATCGGCTCAAAATTTTGCTTCTCTTGGTGACTAACGACGCGAGAGTTAAGATGACCCTGCCGGTACGTTAAACTCACGTGCTATAAAGAAAGAAACCAGAGCATCTATTTATTATCAGTGAGTATTTTTTTCTTTCACAGCTAGCTAGGGGGAGGAAGCGCGGTCGTGTAGAGCAAGCAAAGCTATGGCGGCATGGACGATGAGCGGAGGTATGCTCGTTTTGGCGACAATGTGGCTCATTGTCGCTACGGTTGTTGCTTCATCTTCGTCGCCTCGAGATCCATTGCTGGGTCTGCTCCAGGCAGGGGGAAGATCGATCCAGTACTACCAAGAGCCGCCCAAGAAGAAGCAGCAGCACATCCACTACATCAGCTATGGCGCGCTCTCGGCTGATCGAGTCCCCTGCGCTCCAATGTCGGGAAGATCCTACTACACCCCCAACTGCGTCGCGGCGAAGGGTCCTCCCGATTGCTACGCTCGGCGATGCAGCACCATCACTCGATGCGCCAGGGACTCCTAGCTAGCTAGCTAGTGCAGTGCAAATGGTTTTTTCTCTCTTTTTCTCTCTAAGTCTTTTATAAATTCATCTTCACCAATTAACTAAGAAATCACCCTTTTGAATTACTAGATAAAGGAATGACACTTTTTAGTTCGTGATCTAAGAATATTCATAGAATATTATCTTTCTAAACGTAATCCCATGCTGGAAGAGCTAGGGATGATCTTGCTAAATGTTTGCGTCCATTCCACTGGATGGGAGGTCGTGTCTGTGAGTTTTGGAAAGGTATGGTGAAGGACTGGGACACTGATACCAGGCACCAAGATGGCTAAGCACTATTCCTGGTCGAGGTTCCTCTGGATCTCAGCCAGCGGGTGCATCCACAACTTTATGGTCACTAAAGTTTTCTCTGGAGGGATAAGACAATGAAGTGAAAGTCTAAAAACAAGGCAGGAGGATTGTTATTGTGGGGGGCTTGAACATTTCTCCATATCCTATTGATTCATGGGATCCTGGCCCGGATTTTGAGATACTTCGTCTTCCTCTGAATGCTAGGAAAAGAGTGGAGGCACACAGTTAAAGCCACCATCTGCAAGGATCTTGGCAAGAATGAGGTGGTGATGCATCTTTTGACACGATGGGGATATACACTCAGCCCAGATGTTCTAGATGGACTTGAAACTCAAGATTTTGGACCTCAAGCCATTTTCACTCAACTTCAATTTATCTCATTTTCCGGATTATTCTTTATATATTTTTTATATTCTCAAAATATTAATATCTGTATTTTTTCAAATGTAATATGTACTTCATTTGTTGCTTATAGCTTGTTAGTTTAGAGGTCAATATTGTCTCAGTAGCCTCGAATAATCCTCACAAAAACTCATTTTATATGAGTGAGATTCTTCAAGTCTAATTGATGAGCTCAAAGAGATTTTCAACCCTCTCTTAGCTTGCCATTGGTGCTTGCTTAATCTAGAGAATTAGGTTTTACATTTTCGAGCTAGATTGGCTCTCATTTTTAAGGTATAAAGTACAATAGAATGGTTGAACTTACATTAGGCCATCCTTCAGTGAAAATGCTTATGATACTACAAATTTTACAAGTCCCCATGATTAATATTTTGGTGGAGATTGAATCCTCAAGTTGGAGAGGATTGCTTCTGAAAACAAAGCGTTAATGTTATTTTAAGATTTCAATGATGCTTTGAATTTTTACCTAGGTAGGAAAATTCACATATGTATTTTTAATTTAGCCTATAAGATACTAGTTACAGTTGAGCAAATTTGTTGAGTTGAGAGTGTGTACAAAGGTTATTTTATGGTAGTTGGGTAGCAAAATTTTAGTAGTTATTATTATTAAAAATTTATAAATAAATAAATTTTTATTTTCAAAAGATCTAAATAAATTTGAAGACTATTTGATTGTTATAAGAACAAAAAATAAAAGAAAAGCCTCCACACTAAAGTTTTCCTAAAATATTGGCTAATTTAAGTTTAGCACATCTATGTGATTCAACTATTTAGAGCATTCTTTAGCTCACATATGCACCTTAGCCAAATGATAAAATTAAGTTGTATTAAAAAGTAAGGTGTCTATCTATACATTTATTCAATGAATTCCTTGCATTAAAGTAGACAAAAAAAAGTGAGTACACTCAAAAGATTATTTAATTACTTGTTATATAATAGTTGATCTTTTTTTTAGTTAATTCCAGATATTATTTTAGATTTGATAAACGTTTTTAGTGCCAATGAAGACAAATTTATTATCCTTGCAAAGTTTGTAATAATGCTTTTATAAATATATCTGTGAATATAATTAATAGTGATATAGTGATAGAGATTGTGGTTATCCTTTACTTAGAATATTAAAGGGTAAATTTTATATTTTTATAAGTATATTTTGAAAAAATAAAGGTTTTTTATCATTTATGTATCCCATGTGATCGTATGATTAATTTATGATTTGGCTTTGGCTACTGAATAGTATAATGCACCTTAATAAATAATTGTGGACACTATTAACAAATCAGAAAAAAGATATAAAGTTGCTATTTTGTTTTAAAATTATATTTTTAGGATAAAAAACTACTCCATTAGACATTTGTTCACTCCAACAAGAGTTTTCCACTAGCACTACAAAGTTGATTTGTAATTACAAAATAATTATTTCTTGAAAATAAATAGTTTACTTTTAACCTCAAGAATTATAATTATATAATTATATAATGTGAGTGTTCGGGATATGGGAATAGGTATATTAATTGAGGTTTAGACCCCTACTTATATACAATAATGGATAGACCAAATTCGGTCTTAATTAAATGGTCCTTATGTTATAATACTATAATTTCAATATATATATATATATATATATATTTACAAACCTTGCATTATCCTCCCCTTCAAAAGATAAAATGGTGATGATGATAAGCTATGTGAAATGGAGTTTCTTCTGGGCAAATATAAACTACCCCAAAAATTTGAAACTCCCATTAAACCACCAAAATAGTTGTTAGAAACCATGATTGAAACAAAACCCAAAGACAATAACTTTAATTTAGTAAAATAAAAAAGAAAATCTATTGAAAAGATATGGAGAAATTATGGTGAGATTAGTAGTATGCCATATAAAAAAAGCATTATTCTCCAAAAAATTGAAATTTTTTAAGGCTTAATAATAAATAACTACATTAAAGCTAATAAGCTCTTTGTTTTATTATTGGATTTAAAATTATTTTAAATAATATTATAATAATTTTAGGAAATAATATTGAAGAAACAATCATATAATTGACTTTAGGCACAAAGAACCAAAATGCAAAATGTCCAGCTTAGGCTGCCCTCCTATGCTATTCTAAGCAACTCATTTGTCCGTGCAAACTTGTCTAGCGACAAAAAAACCACGGCCAGCCCAGTTTGTGAGAATTTGGGAACTCTATTGTAAAAGACAATGCCTGCAAATAATGCAATAATTTATGAGCAAGCTTGAACCTATTCTTTGGGATTATCATCCCAGAGAAAGAAACAACGAAGACAAGAAAAGGCATGCAATGGAAGGATTTAGAGGATCAGGTCCTTTTGAGCGATGACTTTAAGTCCCCCAAAAGTCAAACACTTAAAAACACCGCGAAATTACGTCATCGAGCATCTGGTCAACTCGGTGCCGCGTATGCCGGAGATGCCACCACGTGTCGCAGTTGTTTCGGTTGGGATCGCGACGCCACTTCTATATTTCTTTTTGTTCACCGAGGAGCAAGTAAACTATAGTCCCATTCCAAAATTTACACTTCGCAAAGCCCTCCCAAACATCATAACTGGAACACGGCACGTCTAGATGGATCAGAGAATTCTTTTTTTTTCTTGTGAGAATGGGGGTCTTTTGGTTTGGAGTGTTGCGTTGGTCACAACATCATACATTGAATGCCAATGTTGATGTTTACTTGTTTTCTCACACTCGGATCCACATCTGATCTAAATACCTCCCTCCTTACAACTATTGTTCTTCGTGGACTGGACAAGGAATCTTTTGGATCCATTCAACGCAGGGAATGTGGCACCACATGGAGGCCTTATTTGTGTTTTCCCCCACTTTAGATATGAACAAATTAAAAAAAAGGAGGAGGAAAACCACCAAGAACAAGGAGAAAAACAAAAGAAGGAATTGCGAAAACCATGTGCCATGGCCCGGCATTTGCAGCATTTGCATTTGCCTTTGCGTGTGGGACCAAGAAAACACGACGAACTATTCCAGCTGTTTGACCCCGCGATTTTCCAAACAAAGAAACCATTGAAATGGAGTGCTCAACACTCCAAATCTTTGAAAGAAATCAACGGAACCAACGCTTGCCCGCGATCTTCGACCCGTTTGACCGAATCAAAAACGTGGTAGCAAATGTCAAAGGAGAGAGAAAGAGATCTGTACATTAGGTTTTCATGTATTTCTAATTATTAGGGGGCAAATATTAATCATCTCGACTCCGATGCACAAAGATTCAAATGCGTTGACCTTGACCTCTCTAAACAAATTATAGAGATCAAATTAAATAAGTTGAACTCATTAAGCCTTGGCCGCCACGCGTAGCCGAGCGAACGCAGCGCAGGAAAAATTAAAGTATAAAGGCACTGTTTGTCCGGGTGTCCGGTTCGATTCCTTCCACCATCACCTCTAGCTTTTTATTTTCTTTCGTGTGTGTCGGTCGGTCAGCTCCCGTTGTGGGCGCGAGCGCTCTTTCAGACATGGATCGTCTCTCTTCTTTCTCTTCTAGCGCGAGTTTACTCTAATCCTCTCCGCGTCCCCGCTCGATCCATCGCGCCTCTACTCGCTTTCGATTGATAGGGACTGGGCTGGGCCGCAAATTTGGATCTTTCTTCTCCTTTAGGCTCCATAAAACCCCCGGGCCTTCTTTCGCTTCGATCGATCGATCGCCTTTGCGCATTCATTTCTCCAAAGGTGATATCTTACAGCCAGTTCCTAGCAGCCCAATTTGGGGATTTTCTTTCTCTTCCACCGAGATCTCGCAGAGCTCAGACATGGAGGTGGTTCATCCGGGAGGGCTGGACGACTTGGATGGATTCCTGAGGCTCTTGGCCAAGCCCGACGCCGATGGCCATGGCGAGGAGCTCCAAGAGGACGATTGCTTCTTCAATCCGGCAGGGCCATCGCCGGCTTGCACTGGCACGATTGGGACCCTGCCTGTCCCCTCCATGGTCTTTCACGGCGCGGAAGCTTTCTCGGGCGCTTCCACCTCTTCCTCCAGCTCCTCGCAATTTCTGCTGCCTGGCCAGCCCGCCCTCGCCAGCAGCTACAGCTCCTCGCCGGAGCTCCAGGCCCTGCGCAAGGAGCTGGAGCTCCTCGACGATCCCAGCGGCACTGGATTCGAGCTGGGCGGCAGCGATTTCCAGCAGATGCCGCGATTCGGCTTCAACTACTCGTCGGCGAGCAATGATCCCTCCCCGAGCACCAGCAGCAGCAAAGTGGTCCTCGATTCCCTCTCGGAATTCCTCATGCGCGATCACTCGAGCACCGCCACTGGATCGTTGCTTGGATCGGGCAGGGGAGCGATCCACCCGGGCACCCCGAATTCCTCGATATCCTCCTCCTCCAGCGACGAGCCCATGGAAG